GTTGCATGTGCAATTTGTAGATGAGAAATGTCCTCATTTCCTATGACTAGAGAAAAATAAGGAAAAGAAAAAAAATGGGGCCAAAGTATCTCACAACAGGAAGTAGAGAAAGCTGAAAAAAAAAAAATAGAGAGAGAGAGAGAAAGAGAACTAACAGAAACCTGGGGCTAAGGGGCAGGCAGGTTTAAGGGAGCAGATTTGGAATCTTGGCTGTGTGTTTTCCTTCTTCCCTCTCCAGCATGGCCCACCCCTGCCTTCTCTGACCACAGTGATCACCACAAAACCACACTACACACGAACTCTGGCTGTGTGGTCAGAGGAGAATTTCTGAGGAAGGGGCGCAATAGAAAGAGGAAGTGAGACAGTCAATGCAGGTTCCCCTTTCCTAGGTCAGACTGAGCCAGATCCCCCCCCCCCCCCCCCCACACACACACACTGTTTCCTGGTAGTGGCTCTGCAACTACTGTCTGTGTTATTCATTAACCAGACACTAATATTTCTGTTTACCCATCTGTCATCTGCAGGGGATTCAGAGGAGTCCTGCAAGCTAACCAGCCACACAGATTCTAACCAGCCACACAGATTCTCTTGGATCAGGCCCAGCCAGGCACATTTACTAGTATTTACTGTGCCAGAGCCTTGTATTAATGTTGCCAGAGAGTAAGTTTTCTCAAGTAGGATGTGATCTGTCTGCCAGTTGAGCGTACGTGCTGGGCGTGTATCTAGTGATGGGACTTGAGTTGGCTTGCACGAGCTGATTATTGGCGTCTCTTGTCAAACCCATATTCAGTGTCTTCAGTGTTGATAGAAATTGACCCTGGTGGCATGTGTCTGCCACAGAAATTGGCAAATGCAACAACTCAGGGCCTTTCCTAACCTCCAACTCCCCTGCTTCTTACCCCCTTCATTCCAAGAGTTGGTTGTGAAACATTTCCCAGCATACCACTGGGAACATCTATCTAGGAAGGAGCTGCATAACTTGTATTCTAATGAAAGAGGGAACAGCTTCACCTTCACGGAGCTTCCAGCCTAGTGAAAACCCCGTATGTTTGCAATAGCACTTTATGGTTCCTTAACTCTTGTCATGCACCTTATCTCCTTAACCTAACAACCATCTTCCTTCAGTGACAGGCACAGATACCGGAATGACCACCTCAAAATGGAAACAGATCATTCTCCACTCTCTTACTTAAAACCCTCCAATGACTTCAAAAACTCTTAGAATGAATTCAACCTCCTGTCTGAGGCCTAAATCTTTGCAGGGTCTGGTTTCTGCTGACCTCAGCATCATCTTCCATCGCACACTGTCCTCAGGGCACAGTATTCTGACCCAGTGGTTCTCGAAGCGTAGTTTCTGAAGCACCAGCATCATTATCACCTGGGATGGTTAGAAATACAAACTCTTGGGTCCCATCCCAGACCTACTGGTTCAGAAACAGTGGGGAGGGAAGACCGTGATTCATGCTTCAGCCAACTCTCTATGTGAACTGGACACATGCTTAAGTTTGCAAACCACTGCTCAAGCTCCACACTGGCCTTGAGATGCTAAGGTTCCTTCCCTCTTCAGGGCCTTTGAACCGGCTGTTCCTGTTTTTAGAATGTTCTTCTGATGGGTCCTTGAGGGACAACTTTCTCCTCATTCAGGTCTCAGCTGAACACCACTGAAGCAAGAGGATCTTCTGAACACTCTCAAATCTCTCCTTTCACGTTCTCCCACATCCCATATCTGTTTGTCAAGTCCGTTTGCCACGTTCGAAATCACCTTGCTTGTTCATGTGTTTATTAACTATTTTTTCTCACTAGACTGGAAGCCCCAAGAACAGATACCTTGTCTCTCACACATCCTGCCTCCCCAGCTCCTTATATATTCCATCCTATGGTAGGCAATCAATACATATTTGTTGAACAATTGAATGACTAATTTTCCAGTGAAGAAATGGGATCTATATCAAGTGACTTAATGAAGAGCCAATATTTGTTAGTGAGTGGCTACAGTTTCCCCCTGAAAGTCTCAGACCAGGTCCAGAGATGTTCTTTAATTTTTTTCTTTTATCCTCACCCGAGGACATTTTTTCCATTTTTTTGTTCAGATAGAGTGGGAGGGAGAGAGAGAGAGAGAGACATCGATGTGAAAGGGACACATCGAGTGGCTGCCACCCGCACAACCCAACCAGGGCCGGGGACAAACTGCAACTGAGGTACGTGCCCTTAGCAGGAACCGAACCTGGGTCTCCGTGGACCACAGACAGACGCTCTAACCGCTGAGCCAAACTGGCCAGGGCTCCAGAGTTGTTCTTGCACTTTCCCGATTAGCCAAGAGCACCCATGTCCCTAACACCCTGGGTATCGCAAATTGGAAGGGGCTTGGCAGTTACTGCGTTAGTCTTTACCAGATGTGTGCATTTCCCCAGTGTCCTAAGATGGGCATTTTCTATCTTCTATTTTCGTATTCCTGGAGACTGGGGGGTGATTGCTTGTTGAGGTAGTGAGTTCCATTTTATTTTATTTTTATTTTTTTATTTTTTATCCTCACTGGAGGACATTTTTCCATTTTTTGTTCAGATAGAATTGGAGGGAAAGAGAGGGAGAGAGAGAGAGAAACATCGACATGAAAGGGACACATCGAGTGGCTGCCACCCACACAACCCAACCAGGGCCGGGGACAAACTGCAACCGAGGTACATGCCCTTAGCGGGAACCGGACCCGGGTCTCTCCGGACCTCAGGTCGACGCTCTAACCGCTGAGCCAAACCGGCTAGGGTGTGAGTTCCATTTTAAACAGCCCTGACTCTTTAAGATGTAAGTCACAGTCCGACCGATGCTCAGTGGTTGAGCATCAACCAAGAGGTTGCTGGTTCGATTCCCGGTCAGGACACATGCCTAGGTTGTGGGCCAAATCCCCAGTGGGGGGCATGCAGGAGGCGGCCAATCGATGTTCTCTCTCATTGATGTTTCTATTTCTCTCTCCCTCTCATTTCCTCTCTCTGTAAAATCAATACAGGAAAAAAATTTTAAATAAAATAAAAAAAGATGTAACTCCTGGCTTCTTTTGTCCACAACCCTTGTTTTTCCTGGTGGGGCTGCACAGACAGCGTCTTCCACGCAGTGGAACTTACCTTGTCCCAGCCGCATACCCGGTATTCTCTCATTTTCTTCTCATGTGTCAGTGAATATAAGTAGGTACTTTGGAGTCAGGAAGACCTGAATTCAAACTCCCTTTTACTTATCAACCTTGGAGAGTTCCTTTCATCATCTTGGGCTCCTTCTTTAGAAATCGTGCCTGGTATTTCACGGGTTGTTATTTTATTTTTATTAGGTTTTAAGTCTAAATTATTTTGGTTAATTTTTCTGACTAGCCAAGTTATTACCCTTTGATTCCTCGAGTTGATGACCTTTATAAAATGGGTTGCTCAGTACTGAACACGCTACTGAATAGACCTCGGTGGAGTGAAATGACCTCGTTTAGACGTTCTTTCTTTGAATACTACCCAAAATCAAATGAGCTTTTTTGGAAGGTGTGATACATCTGAAAACCCCATTTTCTTCCCCTTCACACTTTACCATCGAACTATCTTATATAGCTGCTATCTAATATATTACTTGCAGCATTTCAAATTTCTACTTGTGCTTAAATCTCTCTGTGTGCTTCAGTTGCCATGATTTCTCAGCAGGGTTATATATGCAGTCTCACGTAAATCCTCAGACGTCCCTGGGAGACATACCTCCGCCTCATTATGATGATTTGGAAATGGAGGCTGGAGGTTGCTCAAGGTCATCCAGCTGGTAAGCAGAACCAACACTGAGGGCAGGGCTCTGATGACACCCGTCCAGTGTTGTTTTGAGGAAGGAAATCAGAGAAAATGAGCTCTCGGTTGCATAGAAATAATAAGGGAAGTCTTTCCGGGGAAATTAAATATTATTGGGGTTTTATAAGAAGCAATCAGAAGATGAGGGTACATGGGGTTGAGGTAAGGGGGACTTATAGCAGGAAAGGTCTCTCTGAAGAGTAATTTCTTGGACACATTGGGCCTCTCAGCTAGGACAGTGATTCCTGACTGAGCTGTTTATCATAATCACCTGGGGAGCTTTTTAATGTTTTTAAATTGATTTTTAGAGAGAGAGAAAGGGGGGGGAGATAGAAACATCAATGAGAGAGAAACATTGATTGGCTGCCTCCTGCACACCCCCTACTGGGGATTGAGCCTGCACCCAGGCATGTGCCCTGACCAAGAATCGAACCGGCGACCTCTTGGTGCATGGGACAACGCTCAATCATTGAGTCACATCAGCCAGGCCACCTGGGGAGCTTAAAAAATTTTTTTTTCCTTTATTTATTTTTAGAGAGAGAGATGAAGAAGAGGGAGAGATAGAAACATCAATGAGATAGAAACATTGATTGACCACCTCCAGCATGCCCCCCACTGGGGATTGGGCCCACAACCTGGGCATGTGCCCTGACCAGGAATTGAACTGGCGACCTCTTGGTGCATGGGTCGATGCTCAACCACTGAGCCACACTGGCCAGGCCACTTGGGGAGCTTCTTAAAGCTCACCTGTGCCTCCCCCACCCTAAGATTCTGAGTCAGTAGATTGGAGATGGCCACTTGTGTTATTTTTATATCTCTACAAGTAATTCTGATGAACAGCCTCTGTTGCAAACCACTGGATTAGGGTCTGGAGGGTCAGTTACCTAGAAAGCGTCGTCTATGGGTTCTTATTGTGGAGAAACAAGTTAGGTAAATGGAATTGGGAAGTGAGAGAGGACACAAAGCAGGTAATGGAATGATATGAGTTCCTGAGAGGAAAACTTTTTTTCCCACTTATCTTTATTGTTGAATGTATTACAGATGTTCTCCATTCACCCCCTTCTCCCCATCCCCGCCCCTCTCCTGCCTTCCCAACACTATAGTCTGTGTGCATTGGTTGTGCATATATGCATATAAGTTCTTTGGTTTATCTCTTCCCATCCCCTCTCCCCACTTCCCATTGAGGTTCATCAGTCTAACGAACAATTTGTACTTCTTAATCCCTTCTCCTTTTCCACCCATCCTCCCAACCCCCCTCCAACTTTGGATGGTCGGAAAACTCTGCAGGTTTCTAAGCAGGAGAGCAGGATATTTTAAGCCCCCTCTGATACATCCGAATCAGGACTCAGCCCACTTTCTCTTTCTAAATCTGGTCTCCATTCATCAGTCTCAACAGGATCACCCCCGCCCCAGTCCCCTCACTTAGTCCACTCGTATTAATTCTTTTCCTTAAAGTGTTTCTGGGCTTTCAGATGCCTCACTGTCCCTCTTTGCTATGGAGTCTGGTTCTTCGTCCCATTTTTGCCCTCTGTGCTGGCAGAAATGTTACAAAAATTGTGGACACTCACTTCAGAGTTTTAGCATCTTTATTTTCAACCTGCCAGACCAGGCTGTCTACGCCTGTGCTAGTCAGTCTTGAGCTCTGGCTGGTGGGTACCAGGCTGTATCCGGACCTGTGTGGAGTGCCATGAGGGAGGAAGACAAGACCCGAACCTCAGGAAGTTCCCAGGTTAAGGGGGAACACAAGACACACACATGAAGATGACTGCAGCTCAGTTACAAAGCAGCCGGTCGGATGGATACAGCAGAAATCTAGAGCATTAGAGACCCGAGCCCTCAGCCCTTCCTCCTAGTTCCCTTGGCTCAGACCTCTCCCGAGCCTTCTTTAACCTCATTTAGTATTTCTCTTCCATCTCTTCTGCCCTGGCTTCTTTCCAGCATCAACAGCTAGCCCAGCATCTAGGTGTCGTCTCAAAGCTTATGGCCAGATTGCCTCAGGATCCTCTGCTTCAACCCGACCATCCCCAGCTTCCGAGCACCTCACAAGGACTGAGTTCATATTGGCCCCGTGGCTTCCGAGACTTGGCCTGACAGTGCTTCTATGCCTAACCATTTCTCCTTCTGTGTTCCTCTGGGAAGGAAGGTGCAGTCAGGAAGGGCCAGCAAGCCGGTGAGAAGGGTTGTTCCGGTCCCAGTCGTGGACTCGGTCGGAGGATTCCCGAGTCTGGAACCCTCCTGCCCTCCCGCGCCCAGCCCGCTCCACCCATACGTGCCCCCAGCGCCTCCGGAGGTCCCGTACACCCCTACTCTGTGGTAAAGTCAGAACTCGCTACTCCCTCTGCTTGACTCACACCCCTGTCCCCATTCGTCACCTCTGCTGGCTCTCTGCCTCTGTTTCCCAGCAGAGAGGAGCCCCGGTGCCGCAGTATCTGAAGCCCCTTTCCGACGGCTCGGCGCACGTCGGAAGAAGAGAAGTAGAAAAGCAGTGGATCCAGGCTGGCGTTGAGGGAACTGAACACCACGGCCTCTGCCCGCCACTTGGGGCTTTGCTTCGTGTAAAAGCCCACCAGGTGGGACACGTTGTAAGGCCCGAAGCACACCAGGAAGTTGAGGAGTGTCACGATGGCCAGCCCCACAGCTCGCCGCCGCCTCTGGGCCCTCACGTGGGGCTGGGTGAGCATGATCCACACGAAGCGCCAGTAGCAGAAGATGGTGACGGCCATGGGGATGAAGAAGAGGACCAGGCACAGCTCCAGCCTCACGGGAAGCACCACCTTCAGCTGATATTCGGTGAAGTTCTCGTAGCAGGTAATTTCCTCCGTGGACCTCTGGGTTGTGTTCAAGTACTGAACGATGATCACGATGGTGCAGTGACCAAAGGACATGATCCAGGCGACCACGGCAGCAATCACGCCATACAGGGGCCGGCGGGACAGCTTGTACTGCACGGGGAAGGCCACTCCCAGGTAGCGCTCGATGCTGATGCCCGCCAGGAGCCACGTGCTGCAGTAGATGCTGCTGTAGAAGCCGAAACCCGTGAGGGCGCAGACCAGCTCAGGCAGGTACCAGCGGAAGTTAGAGGCAGCCTCGATCATCTTGAAGGGCAGCAGCAGCAGCAGGAGGAGGTCCGCCAGCGTCAGGCTGAGCAGGAGGATGTGGACGGGTGCGGGGTTGGGCTGGCGGACCCGGCCCACAAAGGCCCGCAGGGCCAGGAGGTTGGCAGGGAAACCAGTAAGGAAGATAAGGATGTAGGCCACGAGGATCAAGGAGCTCTTCGTGTCTGGCATGGCTGCTCTGGAAGAGGATGAGAAAGGGCAAGGTCAGGAGTCCCCGCTCACAGCCTGCGGACTGAGTCTGGTTCAGGAAGAAGACATCCTCTCTGGCTCTCTCCCCTTCCCAGGCCAGGGCTTCTGCGGCCACCACTGCTTGCTCGCAACACCTGTCAGAACGGCCCAGAGCAATTATTGACTTTGCCTGGGGCGGGATATTAACTCAGAGCTATTACATTTGCCATCACGTGTCTCTGGGGCAGACCAACCCTTGGCTTCCCAAGGGAATTCCCCCTCTGCTTTCCTCAGCCTTTCTCTGGCTTTCACAGATACAGGAAGTTACTAATATCAGTGTCCAACTTTCCCCAAGTCCCCTCCTCGGTCAGAGGTCTTCAGAGAGTGAAGGCAAGCCTTCTCACACGGGGGACACTGTGAGAACAGGTCCCCCACGGGACCCTCGCACGCCAAGGAAGCAGGTGTCCGGCCCCCGGCCCATCTCCCTCCCTCGTTGTCCTTTATTTTTGCAGAACACAGATTCTCCTTCACCTTTGCCTCCCCTGTCCAGTACCAGACTGAGACTGTCTTAAAAAAAGGGAAGCCAGTGAAGTATGGGGCCAGGGGCAGGGGGAGAAAGAATGAGCCAGCACTATTTGGGGGGCTTGTCGCCCCAAAAGGCTTTAGAGAATATTCAGGAACGCCCACAGGCAGTCCCTGGCTTCTGAGCCTGGTGTTTTGACTATAAACAGAAGGATTCTTCTTAACGGGGTAACTCAATTTCCACTTAGTTTATAACCCTCACCACCCACTCAACCTGGCCCCTCCATCCTCTTCCCGAGCTCGATGTCCGGGCTGCCTTTCCTGGCCCCTCACCCTGGCTCCTGGCTCCAGCTACGATCCTTCTATTCAATTTCTGCAGGGCTGGCTCCAGCCCCCGGACACCTTCCCTCCCGGTCTGAACCTGCCGTCGCTGCCTTGCCTTGTCTTCGGTCCAGATAGATGGCTTCTTGGAAAAGGAAAGTCTGAGAGCTTCTGAGAAGCAGAGCTTCAGCCACGGCTGCCGCCCACTTCACAGGAACAGAGTGTAAGGAACCTGGCTGCTGGGAAGCTTTTATACCACCACGAGTCACGTGACGCGAGAGAGGAAGGTCAGTAATTGAGCACTGTCTCCCTTCCACCCGGAGGAGAAGGCGCCGGCCTCGTCCCCTCACCCCGGAGAAACCCCCGCCACTGTCCTCCTGTCTCAAGGCAGATTCTCTTGTCTTCGCGAGGCGGTTTCTTCTGCAATTCTACGCATTCTCAGAGAAAGAAGATTTCTACTTCCTTTTAGAGCTCTTTTCTTTTTCCTTCTTTCTGTCTGGTCTCCTGCCCGCTGCTCCCCGTAAGTTTCTGTGACCAGTTGAAACGGGTCTGTCCCGGCCTGTCTCTCCCGTCCTGGAAGAAGTAGCGTGGGGTTTACGGCCACGCACGTGCGGGCTCAGTCCAAGTCCCCTGCATTGTGACTTTGGGGCAGATCGATTTTCGGAGCCTTAGTTTCCTTTTCAGTCCAGTGGGGATGGGAATACTTACATCCCAGGCTTTCCGGGAGGAGTCAGTGAGGCAGCACATGTAAAGCATACGGGCCAGTGCTCAGCGCCTCACGGGTGCCCCTAAGGGAGGTGGTCCCTCCCCCGAAAGCCCACTGGACAGCTTCGGAGAGAGTGAGCCGCTCCGTAAACTATCCAGAGGCCGAGGACACGGACGTGCCATCCGACGTGAGGAAGTGTCCGGGATTCCGTGGGCCTAAGGGGCCTGTGTGGCCCTTCCTAGGGTGATGGTGCTCAGGCTCCGGTCCTTCCCCCCATATAGTCTTTCTCCCTGTGAATTGGGCCCAACCTCTGCGTCGCCCCGTTCTTTTCTCACGATTTTCACCTACATGGCTCCGGGTTAGAAGCTCCTCAAAGTCCTGTTGAAACCCACACCTGAAGAAACAAAGAATCACAACACGTTTTCCTCTTGACCTAAAGAATGGGTCTCTGTCTTGCCATCTGTGGCCTGATTCCTGTTACAGAATCTCCATTCTTTCTCAAGGACAGACTGATTTCCTATTGCTTGCCCATTCATTCATCCATTCATTCATTCCTTCCTTCATTCATTCCTTCATTCATCCATTCATTCATTTTGTGGCCTAGAACCCCAGCGTCCAGGTATCTTAATATTTAGCTTTTCTTCCTCTTCAGCTCTCCTCTCCTCTCATTCTACCTTCTCTTTATTTCTTTTTAAGATATGTTTCTATTGACTTCTTAGAGAGAGAGGAAGGGAGAGAGAGAGAGAGAAACATCGATCGTCTGACTCCTGCACTCCCCCCACCGGGATGGAGCCCAAAATCCAGGCATGTGCTCTGACCAGGAATCAAACCAGGACCTCTCAGTCCATGGGACCTCTCAATCCACCGAGCCGCACCAGCGGCCAGGCAGGAGTTCTACCTTTTCATTTATTTCCTTCCCTCGGCACAGACATGCACCTCCCAGATCAAAGGGGGCACTAAGGAAAAGACCATTCTCAGTTGCTTGCTACTTGACTGATATCTGTGTCCTTGAGCGTTTATGATTTTCTATAAATATTCACGAGGCTCTGAATTTAATTGCAAAGCAAAACCTTCCTGGAAAATAGATGTTGAGGAGCGAGCCTGCTTCTTTTTTTTTTTTTATCCTCACCCGAGGACATTTTTCCATTTTTTGTTCAGATAGAGTGGGAGGGAAAGAGAGGAAGAGAGAGAGAGAGAGAGAGAGAGAGAGAGAAACATCGACGTGAAAGGGACACATCGAGTGGCTGCCACCCGCATGACCAACCAGGGCCGGGGACACAGCCGAGGTACATGCCCTTAGTGGGAACCGAACCCGGGTCTCTCTGGACCGCAGGCCGACGCTCTAACCACTGAACCAAACCGGCCAGGGCGGGCCTGCTTCTTTATTCCTGTCTGCTCTTTCCCCACCTCATGCCTCTGTCATGTCACGGTGTGTATGACCGATGGTGAAGGCCCTCCCCCCATGAAGGGAACATACTAAAGGAAACTTTTGAACTCATGATTCATGATGCTCACCTCTGTCGCAGGAAAAGGAAATGCAACCTCCTAAGCTGAATTCAAGGGCTGGGCTTTCACAAAACAGTATCTTGCACAACCTCTTCAAGTTCGGTTTTTTTCTCATCATCACTATAACCCAACTTGTTATGCTAGGAAGTTGAATCGAGCATCTAAATGTAAAATCACTTTCTCCACTTCCTTATTTCTTAGTCCACCCCTCAGCCTACTCGAATCTGGGTGACATCCCTATGTTTTCATAGGATCTGTTCTTCGTGGATATTTTCTTACGCTTTGATTAGCGTTCAACACAGTTTCCACACCCATCCTGAATTCTTTCTATGAATTCTGCTAGGTTATGCTTTTCTCGTTTCCCTGCTTTTTCTCTGGTCACAGCTTAATGTCCTTTGCTAGCTCACCTTTACCTCTACGTCCTCCAAATGTTGAAGTTCCTGAAGACTTGGTTCTAAGTTCTTTTCTATCCTGGTCCTGTGCTGTCTGCCTCATCTACTGCATCCATTTCTGCAGCATTAATGACCATTTTCATAATGCCCCGTTTTGTTCTTTTTAATCCTTACCCGAGGACATTTTTCCATTTCTTGTTCAGATAGAGTGGGAGGGAGAGAGAGGAAGAGAGAGAGAGAGAGAGAGAGAGAGAGAGAGAGAGAGAGAGGGAGACATTGACATGAAAGGGACACATCGAGTGGTTGCCACCCACATGACCCAACCAGGCCCGGGGACAAACTGCAACCGAGGTAGGTACCCTTAGCGGGGACCAAACCCAGGTCTCTCTGGACCACTGGCCAGGGCCATAATGCCCCATTTTGAATCTCCATCCTGGGCTTCCATGAGCTTCCATGCCTATGTGTCCACCTGCCTGGTAGACACTGTCATTTGGATGTCTCCCAGGCATCTCACATCCAGTGTGTCCAGAGCTGACTTTAGACCTTCTCTCCCAAACTAGAAGTGAATGGCTCTGAGGGAGCTGGTCATGGCCCCTGTTGAAACCCTGGTAACAGACGAGGGTGGCTTATGTTGAGATACAACTAGGTTCCCTTGCTACAAATTCCCATAGCATCTTTTCTATTGCTGAATAGTGTCCTGTTCTATGGCTATTTTGTTGTTATTTTTATTCATTCATTTTTTTAATCCTCACCGGAGGATAGGCTTTTTCATTGATTCTAGAGAGAGAGGAAAGGAGAGAAGAGAAACATCGATCAGTTGTCTCCCACACGTGCCTGGACTGGGGATCGAACCCACAATCTAGGCATGTGTCCTGACCAGGAATCAAACCCATGACCCTTCAGTGATGGTCATTGAGCCACATCAGCCAGGGCTTTTTTAAATGGATATTTTATATTTTATTCATCCATTCACCTGTTGCTAGACATCTTTTCCTTCTGTTTTTAGCTTGTGTTAACAAAGCTCTTATGCACCTTGTTGTTTAGGTATGAGTAAGTGTTTTCAGTTCTGTTGGGCAAACACCTAGGAGTATATTGGCCAGGTTGCATGTTAAACTTTTTGTTCAGTTTTTTAAGAAACTGCCAGTTGCCCAAGGAGGCTGTACCATTTTTTCAATAATATATTTTTCTTTATTGATTTTAGAGAGAGAGAGATAGAAACATCAATGAGAGAGAACATCGATCAGCTGCCTCCTGCATGCCCCCCACTGGGGATCGGGCCCACAACCTGGGCATGTGTCCTGACCAGGAATCGAACCAGTGACCTCTTGGTGCATGGGTTGACGCTTAACCACTGAGCCACACCAGCCAGCCTGGATCTTTTTATTGTGTGTGGTATGTGCCCTTAGCAGGAACCGAACCCGGGACTCTCTGGTCCGCAGACCGAGGCTCAACCGCTGAGCCAAACTGGCCAGGACCAGACTGGATCATTTTTATTTCCACTAGCAATGTGTGCTCATTCCTGCTGCTCCACATGGCCACCAACACTCGGTGTCTGTCTTATGTCGAAGGCATTCCGATTAATAGTGTCAGGGCATCTCATTGTGGTTTTAACTTGCATTTCTCTGAGGATTATTGATGTTGAGCATCTTCTCAAGTACTCAAGTGGCCTTTTGTGTATCTTCTTTTGTGAAGTGTCTTTGTTCAAGTCTTTTGCCCATTTTTATTGAATTATTTCATGCCATTGAGTTTTGAGAGTTCTTTATTACGTTCTGAGTACTAGTCATCTCTTAGGTGTATGTATTACAAATATTTCTCCAGCTCTATGACTTGCCTTTTCATTTTCTTAGTTGTCTCTTGAAGAACAAAAGTTCTGAATTTTGATAAAGTCTAATTTATAGTTTGTGCTTTCCTGTCCTAAGAAATCTTTATCTACCTGTCCAGTTCCCGATTTGATCTTCCCTGTGGAATTACCTCGGCACCTTTACTGAAAGTGAATTGGTTTGGATCGGGTCTATTTCTTGAATCTCTTTTCTGCTTCGATGATCCTTATGTCTTCCCTTTCATCATTTCTACACACTGTTGATTACTGTAGTTTTATAATACATCTTGAAATCTGATAGTATAAGTTCTCCAATGTTGTTCTTCCTTTTAAAAATTGCCTTAGCTTTTCTAGGTAATTTGCATTTTTATATGAATTATTTTCTACAAAAAAAAGCCTGCTGGAATTTTGCTTGGAATTATGTTGAATCAATAGAACAATTTGAGACCATCAACATTGGAACAATATTGGGCCATCCAATCTATGAACATAATATATATCGCTATTTATTTAGGAGTATAATTTCTCTCAGCAGTTCTTTCTAGTGTACAGCATAGAGGATTTTACATCTTTTCTTAAATGGATTCCCGAGTCTTTTTGAGGTTATTGCAGATTTAATTGTTGTTTTTTTTAAATTTTGTTTTCTCATTATTCATTGCTTTCATAGCATCTTTGATTATTCCCTTAGAGCACATAGCTCAGGTGATAATAGTACATGTATTTGTGTGAAAATTTGCTTAATGTCCATCTCCCTTACAAGACTATCCACGAAGGCAGGGAACGTGGCTGTTTTGCTCACCATTATATCCTCAGGGCCTGGCACGGAGCCTGGCATGTATTAGACACTCGATAATTATTCCCTGGTTGACGTGTGGATGGATAAGTGGAAGAATTGAAATGGATAAAAGTCCATTTTCAAAACCCCATTCTGTCTCCTTCTGGGCCTATCATAAGAAATCCCAGGCAGTAATCAC